AGCTAGCTTATGGTTCACTCGTTCGGTAGAAACCAGTGCTTCTGGATCGAATCCTATATATACCTGCAAAAATATGTACAAATGGAGTTAAATGTACATTTTATAACTTATTCTCTCAACTCAAATTGGCAACGTCTAAATTATGGATCCGGCAGCGATTGATGCCTAGTTTTATGAATAGAGGTGAAATCCCTCATGTATGGGTTCTCCTTAGCTTATTTGGTGCTGTTATTAATCTGTATTGTTATAATAAACAATTAAACCATTAAACTTTCTGAAATATATAAACAAAACAGAAAGTTAGTAACAGTTGTTTAACGAAATAAATTCTGAAAAAACAGTATAGGAATAAATCGAGCCCACTGAATACACAGTGTATCCTTAAGGAAATTATTCCCCTCAAGTACCCGAGGTGCTGGAATATATCCTCCTATGATAGAACGATTTAACTCACCGGAGTGTTGGTACCAAAAATGCCGGTGAATAGTGAGCCACTTGAAGGCTGTAAAACACACTGAAATTTTTGTGCAGAAGAAGAAGAAGAAGATCAGAAAATTTCGTAAGGAAAGATTCTGGGATTCAAAGTATATTTATAGAGTTGCTGGCACTATTTCTGAAAAGGTTTGCAACCTTTCAGAAACAGCTATGGCTGTTGGAACAGGCTGTTTGAAATATTGCGAGAAAACGGATTTAAAATAATCCGGGAAAGAAAACGGGCCTGACCGGACCGAGTCGCGGGTCATGGGTTATTCCGGATTGAATTTTTCGTTAATTATTTAATTAATTAATCAAATAATTGAAAGAAATTTTGTCCAAAAAGATTAATCAATCCGAAGCCGAGCGACGACGGCGCGAGACTTGCCTTCTTCTTAACTCTTTAAGAGCTAGAAGAAGAGCAATTATATATATACCCATCAAAAGCCTTTTCTTCCTCCAATATGGGACAATGTCCTTTTGCCAAGGAGGGAAACTCAAATATTTTATTTTTCCTGCATTTCTTATTTACCATCTTTTACGCTACACAAGCTTAAAATCCCAACAGGTGCATCTATATCTTATGCTTTAGAGTGGATCAAATACCACTATACAAATTACTCCCACAAAAGCTAAGTTAAAACGTTACGTTCCTTTCATTTTCTTTTCTGATGCGATCATCACTAGTCCAACATTTTCTGCGTTCTGCAACATGTTGCATATATATGATCAAAAAGTAACACATAGCTTTTGTGCGTGCTTCTGAAAAGTTTCTTCGCGAACAAAGGCGGATTCGGAATTTGAATATTATGGTTTCGAGTTCGGGATTTTAACAATTGATTTGATTTACTAGATTCGAAATTCATAATTTGTACTTATTTTAGTATATTTTTTTAACACATACAAAATTCGAGTCAAAATTACTAGCTAGGTTTAGATGAACCTATAAGATGTACTCTAGATCTGCTCCAGTTCGTGAAGATCCTGTCGTCATGCATTAACCTCTTAACTTTCTTGTATTAACTTATATTACAGAACATATTAAAAACTATGTCTTCTCATTGCCATAGATTTGCACTCTAAGTAGAAGCAAAATTCTTATTCTTGAAAGTCAATCTAAACTTTTGAGCAAGTTCCAGAAAAGCATATATAGTCAATGTGCTTAACAGCTAGTTTAATTAGTTGACAGGTCATATCAAGAAAACCACAAATTAAAAGGGCATCAGATCACTCCCACTAGGAGAGCTAATAAATAGAATATATGTGTTGTATGCACATTGTTACTAGACAAATATTCATGGAATTCAACTTGTTTTTCCAATCGGTCCCCTACATACACACTCTTCCGATCCAATCTCCTCAATGAGCCTGTGCACGTTCAACTAACGGCGGCAACGGTAATTTGCATCCACTGACTTAAAATTCTGAATTTTACTCTTTTTGTAATACTACCATCAAGCAAGAGTTTGTTTTAATTTTTCTTTCCCTATTCTGAAGAACTCTTTCAATTCAAGAGTTGAGGGGACCAAAGAAATTGTTTGGTTGTCATATTAAATGTATTAGGAGTACCATATAAGTTAAAATAGTTCGTGGACACGTACCATTTTCATTGAATGTTTGTCTTAACCATACAATTCGGTTGTAAGCTTGAAATGACAGGGTTTTAGAATTTCATCTTACCTCACTTTGAAAGATACCTTTACTCCAATACATGCCTTCCTTTCTTTTGTTGCATGTTTGGTCGATTCATTCACATAAACACATTGGCAGGTCAGTATCATGAATAATCATTAACTCGCCTCTTTCGGTGTTACATCTTGTTTTAACACCTGGTTAAAATTATATGGTCACGATTTGTTTGATTAATTATGGACTTCGGGTGTCTGATATGACGGAATTCATTTTTTAGGAAAAAAATGTTTTCATGAGGAAGTTCATTTATGGAGTTTGGTTACAAGAAAATATTTTTCATGGGAAAATGACTTCTTTCAACTATGGACGGAAGTCATTTCCTTACGCAACTATTTAAATTCTAAACTTTGAATTTCTTATAACTTACTCTTAAACTTAGACAATATTATTAATCTTTACTACTCAAGAGATTTTACCAAAACACTTGGCGCCGATTTGCAAATATTATTATTAATCTTGAATTTGTATTTCAAATACATTTTTTACTCATCAACCAAACCCCATAAAACATTTTTCTATGAAGATTATTTTGAGGAAGACATTCTTCATTAAAAATGACTTCTGAGTTCCGTGGCGTACCAAACATACTTTATAGCAAGATTCATTCTTACAGAAACTATCAATTTGGAGGATTCGATTATATATAACCTTAATATTTTTCATGAATATGAAATGTTTCATCAGTCAAGGACTAAAGTAATTGGTAGCTCTGTTCCAAAGAAAAGTTTAGAGCTTGCGGAGTCATTGGCCCAATCTGATATTTCTGAGATATCGCACTTCTTCTTGAGGAAGTTACACCGTATACCCCTTTAAAGAACCCTTAACACACTATACTTCAATTATAAAATTACATATAGTACACATCAATTAATTACCCATATACCTATTTAGTTAAAGGACAATAACTACCTAATAAATATGTCCCCTAAATTAAAGGAAGCTATATACACAAAGCAAATCTACTCAAAATCTTATTCCATCCCTTTCAAACTTGGACCAAAATTAAAGTAAAAACAGATTATCCATTAATTTTTTTTTTTACTGTGGGAACCTTTGCCGTTATATAAGTTTATCTTCCTCTATACAATTAAAAAAAATACAGTAAACTAATCATTGTATACTATTAAAGAATGTTAATATTCGAAGTAAAATAATATATAAATAAAGATAAATAAAAGTATATTTGATTTGAATATTGTATTTTAAATTAGAATATTGTGGTATGTTTGGTTTGAATACTATATTCCAAATTAGAATATTATAGTATATTTGATTTGAATACTATATTCCCAATTAGAATATCGATATGTTTGGTTTTGAATATTGTATTCTTTATTAGAATATTATAGTGTGTTAGTTTGAATAATATATTCTTCATTAATCAATTGTAATTTGGTATGTTTGGTTTGGATAGTTTATCGCACACTAAAATATTTTGGTATGTTATGGTTTGAATATTGTATTCCAAATTAGAATAGTGTGGCGTGTTTGATTTGAATATTGTAATTTTAATTAGAATATTGTGGTGTATTGGTTTGAATAGTATATTCTAATATTTCTGTAGTTTAGATATTGTATCCCAAATTAAAATATGTTTACCTTATTTTAACTTTTCTTTTGATTACATAGATGTAAGAGAAAAACAAAAAAGATGAAATACTTCATTTAACAAATAATGGTAAAGAGGTATTGTTTTGTACAAAACAAATGCTCCATTTTCATATTCTTCCTCCTTCTGCATCCACGTGCCATAGGAAAGAATAGAGAGGGTTGTTTATTTGGAACAAGAAATCATTGGGGTTCAGATGTTTAGGTGAAACTGTATAATCCTAATTCCTTGGGATGATGGAGTGTTTTAAGAAATTTATCAAGTTGGAGTGAGAGATAATCTAATCCCTTAAAATGTGGGATTTGTTTAATGGCATATAATGCTATTAAAGATATAAAAAGTAAATAAACTTTTATAAAGTAGGTATAGAATGTAAAACAAATATGTTAAATGTATATGAAGTTAACTGGTGTTTTCAATAAGTATACCGCGTAGATTTCCTCTTCTTCAATAATCTATTTGATCCAATAATATGTGCAGAATCTCACTTCATAGCCCAAAATGAATTATATCAAGACATTGGATTTATTGTGAAAATGACACCATGTTGGCACTTTTAAGCATGTTATTTTAATATATTCATAATTTACAATATATTTAAAGATTAACATATTCTCTCAAACTTGGGACACGACGTCCTGAAGTTTAAACATCAAGATTCGAACTTCAGGACATCGTGTCCTAAAGTTTGTCCAAAAATTCGAATCTTAAATTAGTAGTTCAGAAATTCAAGATACTTAGTCCTGAATTTTAAATTATCAGTTTAGAAATTCAGAATACTTAGTCATGAATTTCAAATTAGCAGTTTAGAAATTCAGGATACTGAGTCTTGAATTTTAAATCAGCAGATCAAAGATTCAGGATACAAATATTCAGAATACTTAGTCCTGAAGTTTGGACAAATTAGCTAATATTTAAAGACATTATAATTGGATATATTTTAAATAGTACACTTAAAAGTGATTATTGGTGCACTTCGCCCCTATTTATTATATTTATTGATCTAGGTTTTCAGTTTCACTGTGAATTCACACCCAGAAAGTGAAAAGTTTAAAAAAAAAGTATTTGCTTTTTGCCATCAATATTGATCATACTACCAATCCATCTCCAGGACCAATTCCCTTTTCTTCAACAGAGCTAGGAGGATCCAATAAGGAATTGAATATACATAGTTTATCTTCAGTGATAATTATCTACAAGACTCTAAGTCCTGTGCACTAACAAGTGTGAAAAATACAATATTACTGATGTGTAAAAACTCTTTACATTGTCGTAAATTCTATCTGAAGTTTTAAGTGTATACACTAATGGTGCAAAACATATTTACACTAAATTAAGTTCAAGGAGTACTTATACACTGATGGTGCAAAACATATTTACACTAGATTAAGTTCAAGGAGACTTCACTGATTAATGAAGACTTAATTTTTTGTTGTCAAATGGCTTTCTTTAGTAATCCATTCTTCAAGTGATTATGGTGTTAGCTATATATGTCGAAGTTGGCCCATCAAGAACCAGCCCAGAAACACTAAAAAAGCAGTACCAAGACTTGTAAGGTCCCCCATATTGTTTGACCCTCCTTTGAACTCTTGTTATCATCTGCATTTCTGGAATTTCTTATGCACAATAATGTACTTTCTACATCCCAAGGAAAGGTTGACATGATGGGACAACATTATATATCTCTATTGTCTATGAACTGGATCTGTTTAATGACTATTGTAGAAGATGGTAAATGAAGAATTCAAGAGATCCAAAGTTTTCTCATCTGGATTAAGGGTGTCCAATGAAGTACAGCTTCCTGCTCTTTTGTATGCTTTCCCTCGTTGTCAAATACAGTCAGGATTGCGATATTACTTTGGGAGGTATGGAAGAGCCTCAATGAAGCAATACTATTTTTGGAAACACAAGCTTGAGCCTCACCGGTACAACCGTTGCTGCAGAGATGGTGACATCCAAACAAAGAGAAGTTAGCTAGCCAACATTTTATTTTTAATTGTGGTGTCCAAACCTGCTAGCTCGTCCTTCCCCGGACCTTGCCTTAACCCGGAGTACTTCTTGCATCAGGCTGTCCTTTATAATATTATGCTAGCTATGTTGCTCCCATTTAGGATTAGTAGTTCATAATGTAAGATAATGGCATTCGTAGTTTATTCTGTGATTCATGTCATTTTAATCATATCAAAAGGTAAGTCCTCTGCTAAGATAATTAGTGTGTTCCTTAAATTGCTGTAAGAAATTACTCATCTATAAAGCTCAACATAAATCAACTACATCAGCTATAGAGTAATCAGCTTTCAATATGAATTGGCACACTAAAGGGCATCCAATGATAAACTATAGTAGACTAGAATTTACAATAAAGTTCAAGATCCTTAAAGATCTCAGTGCTCTCAGTGCTGTAGCAACCCTTCCATAAAATATAAAATGATCACACCAAATGTGTAGAACAAAATTATTCACAGCTCGTATGGAAAATTTGTCAGCAATGGTAGAAACTCTCTTTTTCTTCAACTTGACAAAGGTATAGACAATTGTACAATCCACAAAGGACGTTGACTCAAATGTTACAGTTTCATGTTCAAATTTTCTGAAACAAAATTTAAAAAAAGGGAACAAATTTTTCCATATTTGAAGAAAAAAATAGAAAAAAGAAAAAATTAACCTGGCAATACTATTCTGGTTGAAGTGGTATTCATATTCACATCTGAATAAGCCCCTGATGCCACTTCTGCATCCAATCCAGCAGCCCATCTCCTTAGAACTCTCAACAATGTTGCTGCTTTTCTTCTAGCCCTCCCTGTTCCCGTTCCCATTATTTCCCAAATCACCCTCTCAATCCCTTGAACCGCCGCCAACTCTGCCACCATATCTGATCCCCCTTTCCGGCACATGTTCACCAGTGTCGAGGCTGCACTTTCTCTAGCTCTATCCGTGCCATCCCTTAATACTATGGCCAGTTTTTTAATCAACGGATACGCGGCCGCTACAGCCACCAATCCACCCTTCTTCACCACCACTTCAAGAATCGTCACTGCCTCTTCCATTAGTCCATCCATAATCTCCGCCACCATTTCAACCACCCCGCCTTCAATCAACTTCCCAACTGCCTCCCTATCTCCCACCAAGTTCAAAATTGCCACTAAGGCGTCCCTCTTCGAATTTGTGGGCCCCTCGCGCGCTAAATCCATCAATCCCTTCACGACACGTGTCTTCCGAGCCAATTTCTTCTTGTAAGCCGGTACACCTGTCAAGCTAAAAATGGTTGCTGCCGCGTTTCCCTTTGCCTCCCACGTGCCACCTGATCGTAACACTTCAATAACTCCGTTTAAAACTCCGTCTGTTTCCATTATCCTCGTCTTGTTCGCTTCAAGAATTGACAGATTGAGAATTGTTGTAACGGCGTTAACTTGTAGGCTCGGATACTCCAAACCTAAGAGCTTAACCAATAACGGCAAAGCTGAAGCTTCCGCAATGCAGGCTCGGCTATCCGAGTCCGTCTTGGCTAGGACGCGAAGCTCATGAACAAGCCGATTAGCCGTTTCAACAGATTGCGACGCCTTCAGCTTGTTGATCAAAAATGACACTGTCATTTTCGTGGCTTCCAATGCCGTTTTGTTGGTAACAATACCGTTAGATTTAACGTTCAACTCCGTTGACTCAAACGGAATTTTCTGTTCTCTGCACCACATAGCTATCAAATTCTTCAACGCTGAATTTGGAGTTAATTCCGTGTGGGTCAGGGTTTGACCCGTTTTAGGACACGTGGTATGACCCGATTCGAACCAAAGGGTTATTGAACTGCGGTCGTATGTTTGTCCCGTGGAGACCACCACAGGGTCTCTCATCAAGTCAAGCGAAATCGGACACCGAAAATCCGCCGGAACACTAACATCCCCCGCCGCCCGCCGCCGCCGGGAATTGGTTCTCGGCGTGGAACCACCGTACAACACGCATTTAGCGTAGCGTACAAATCCGATCAATGCGATGATACCAGATTTCGATTTCTCGTCCGTTTGGCTTTGAATTTCTTCTTCCAATAACTCAATTTCATCCCTGCAACTCATAGAATCACGCAAAGTCAATTTATCGAAAATCTCCACCAATTTAGATTGATCAGGAACGATTTCTCGTTCTATCCTGTCGAGCATTTCAACAACTTGAGATCGCAAATCTTGATCCTTTGGATCAACATAAGCTGAATTCTCCGAGCACTGCTTCGTAACGAGAACCAGCAATTCCTGAACGTCGTCGTTCAGTTTCAGCTTTTTAGCAGGAAGAATATCCAGTAAAATGGCCAGCTCAAGCGTAAGTTCATGAAAAGCATTAGAAAACACCTCAATTTGCATAAGTAGCCACATCTTACTACAATTACGGCAATCTTCAAGCAAAGTTTTGATTCGCTGTAAAACTATGTACAATTCGTCGAAGCATAATACCGCGGACGGTGGAAAGCCGGTTACATGTCGTGATGTAGTGGGATCGTTTGAACTGCTACAATCTCTACCGTTAATTTCCTCGAACAAAATTGATAAAAGCTTTGATTTCCTGATTATAGAGGAAGTGTTTTTTTTCAGGAGAAATAGTAAAGGTTGTAGAGTTGATATTTCTGATGATAAGAGGAGAAGTGATTGGAGGAGATTGTGATCGGAGAGATTCGGGGCGACGAAGGAGTTCGCCGACGGCCGCCGTTTTCTTGGCGGGAAAGATTCTTCAGGAGAAACTGCCATATTCTAAAGATTGTTGTACTTGAATTCGAGCGAATAAAATGTTGAATTGAATCGTATATTAGATGAAAATCAAAAGTTGAGCAAATCAAAGAATGAATGAAGAATTTTGTTAATGGGAAGAGAAGACTTTTTCTTGGAATAGTGATAAGGGGGGTTTAGAAAAATGGAAAGGTATTGGATGAGTTGTAATGGGGACCGACTGTTTCGTCCAACTTGCTCTGCCTCTTTTAGGCATTTCAATTCTTACGTCTAACATATTTTATGTACTTATATTAATACGTTTTAGTTGTATGGGTTGATACCTATAAACTACTATAATTAGAGAATTAAGTTTGTTTAAAGTTAAACATACTTAAGAAGTTCAAATTATACAATTTGGTTGTAACACGTTAATTATTACTATCTTATTTTCTAGGTTATCAACTCATATTTAGTGTATACATGTTAAATTCATAAGCAAGTATACTAAAGAATGATCTTTTTTTTTTTAGCAATAAAGATAATATATTAATAACTAGTCATCAAGTGTAGACATATTACAAACAAAACTGCCATTATTGGCACCTACGTTTGGACTATTGCCTTCTATGGCATCATCATTACCTAGAGCAGCCAACCTAGTGCATATATAAGGGGAAATATATTTTACACAATAAAAACTGATAGCATCAAGGACAAGTATAGAGTTTTGGAAGCTCCAATGCCATTTACAAGATCTCAAGCTAAAGAGTTGTAGACTAAGTTTGCTGGACTTCAATGGCAAATAAAGAAACTTTTAATTGTAGAGGAAGAGCTCAAGCCCAAAGTAGATAAATTATCCAAATTTTATAATTATTTAGTGATCCAAATTGAAGTCCAAGAGGAGGAAGATTGGGCTACCAAATCAATCCTTGAAGTCCACCAAATGGGCTCAAAATAAGCTTAAAAGAGGTCCAAAAGGGGGTGTTTCAAAAGGAGCCCAATTGGAGTCCAAACCAATGGCCCAAACTAGTAGTTTTAAGGTCCAAATCTGTCCCAAAGGGATTTGGCCGCCCCCCCACCTAATTTTAATAACTTTTCTTACTCCTTATCAACTACCCTACCTAATTGTAATAACTTTTTGATGCCTTAGCAACCACCCTACCTAATTTTAAGGACTTTTTATGCCTTAGTACTTCTATAAATAAGGAGTTCTTCTCATTCATTGAGGCACTTCATTATTGATTAAGTATATCATACTTTGAGAGTTCTTTTGAACCTTTGTTACTTGTGCTTTGAGATTTATCTTTCAACCTTTACTAGTTCATAGTTCAAGGTAGTAAGATTACTTCTCTATTGTGATATCTTTGATTCCTTTGTGGTATTCTTAGAAGGCGATTAATACTAGTTATTAATTGTTGTCTCAAGTTACTCGTAAAGCGGTCAAGATCCGAATCTATTGTTTTGATTTGCTTTTAAGTAAAGGCGTTTGATTTCTTCAATAAATCAAGACGTTGTTGCTTTGATCTTGTCAAGGCTATAGAACTTGCGTTCTTGGAAGTTTTTGGAATTCTTTCCTTGAATTTTCCCATATCCTTTATTTTCTGCCCTTTAGTTCTAGTTATTCAATTCCTTATTGTTATTGCTTCCGCATTTATTTTTTAAATTCCTACTCTAGTTTGGATTCCCGACCTAGTCGTTATCAAGTAGTATCAGAGTGGTTTTATCAAAGTTTCGTTCTTGATAATTCTGGGGATTTCTTGAATACTAAGAGCGAAAAAAGAAAAAAAACAAGTTAAAAAAAAAACCAAAAAAAAAAAACGAAAATCAATTTAAAAAAAAAATTGCTTGCTCTCCAGGAACTTTCTTTTGTATCTAATTTGTTTCCAAAAACTATCAAAGGAAACAAGAAGAGGGGATCCCAGATTTCAAAGATAAGACAAACATTCAATTTTTCTTACTCTTTCTAATCTAAATATATAATCATTTCCTTTTTGTTCGTGTCTTGTTTCTACCGAGCCTAATAGTTATAGGATTTGGTTCTTCTTTCATTTGTTCTCCAAAAATCTATATTTTATTACTAAGAACTTTATACGAGTTGGGTTTAACTATAAATCTACAAAATATTTTGTTTAAAGGTTATTTCGAGAGAGAAAAAAAAAGGCAAAGTGTGTGTGAGAACAATTGAGGAAAAATTCAATTTGTCTGATACAGTTTAATTATTTAAGATGTCACATACAGGTAGTGATGATGAACGAAGGGTTCTTCAAGAAGCCGAAATCAAAGCAAGAAATGATTTTACCTTGCAAGCTATGCATCAACAATTCGAAAGGTGGAATTTGCAACTCCAAGAGACGAGGGACACCATTGCTGAGAAAAATGATACAATAGCTAAACTTAGAAGGAAAAATAATGTTAGGCCCCAAGCTAGGAGAAATGTACCCCTTGCTCCCATTGTAAATCAAGAAAACTCTATAGATGATTTTAATGATATTGATTTTGATAGGGTAGGAAGAGATATGAGGGGACAAACAGGTAGAGTAGAAGATGATAATATAAGCAGTATAAAGATGAAGATGCCATCTTTCAAGGGAACAAGGAATCCAGAATCGTACCTTGATTGAGAGAGAAAGGCTGAAGCCATCTTTGACTGTCACAACTACTCTTAGGGTAAGAAGGTTAAACTTTCTATTGTTGAGTTTTCTAACTATGCTGCTATTTGGTGGAAAAAGCTTACTAGGGACAGATTGTAGGAAGGACAAGCACCAATTATTATTTGGGCTGAGATGAAGAGGGTGATGAGAAAGAGATTCATACCATCACACTTTCAAAGAGAGCTACAACAACGTCTTCAAACATTGAAGCAAGGGTCCATGTCTGTGGATGAGTACTTTAAGGCTATGGATATGGCTATGATCCAAGCTAATTGTATGGAGGAAGAAGATGCTACAATGGCTAGGTTTTTAAATAATTTAAATAAGGAAATAGCTGATGTAGTAGAATTACAATAATATGTAACAATAGATGAGTTAGTTGATTTGTCTGTAAAGGTAGAAAATTAAAATAAAAGAAAGCAAACTAGCTCGTGGATTATACTGGGTTCGAGTCACCCCAAGAGCAAGGTGGGGAGTTCTTGGAGGGAGGGAGCCGAGGGTCTATCGGAAACAGCCTCTCTACCCTAGGGTAGGGGTAAGGTCTGCGTATACACTACCCTCCCCAGACCCTACTAGTAGAATTATACTGGGTTATTGTTGTTGTTGTAAACTAGCTCGTGGAAATATCGGTCAAACATCATCTCCAAGAAGCTATGGTCGAATCAAGAGATGAAGAGTTCTTCTAGACCTCAAGAAGACAAGGATAAAGGTAAATTTGAGAACAAAGAGGGAGGTAAAACCTTTAACCCAAAACCTTTTACACCTTCTAGTTCTATTCAATGTCATAAATGTAAAGGAAGGGGACATATGATGCATGAATGTCCAAGTAGAAGAAACATCATTCTTAGAGAAGATGGAGGATATGAGAGTGAAAAAAGTGAGGGAGAAGAAGATGGAGATGTGAGTAATGATGATGATATAGAACTGCCTAATAATGGCATGATCGGGGTAGTTAGGAGGATTATGACTATCAATTTGGGAAGTAATAGTGAAGAACAAAGGGAGAATATATTCCATACTAGGTGTGAGATAAATGAGAAAACTTGTTCTACGATCATTGATAGTGGTAGTTGTGCTAATGTGGTGAGTTCATACTTTGTGAAAAAATTGGGACTTGCATGCATGAAACACCCTACTCCCTATAGACTCCAATGGCTAAATGATAGTGGTGAACTAAAGGTAAGCAAATAATGCATGATTTTATTCAATGTTGGTAGATATGAGGATGATATTCTTTGTGACTTTGTCCCTATGCAAGCTTGTCATATCTTACTGGGTCGTCCTTGGCAGTATGATAGGAATATTTTTCATGATGGAAGGAAGAATAGATATTCTCTTGAGCTAAATAATAGGAAATTTACTCTTGCACCTTTATCTCCTTCTCAAGTGTTTGAAGATCAAAAGAGATTAAGGAAAACAATGAGAAAACCAAGGGGAGGGATAAAAAGTGAGCTTGAGGAAAAAGAAAAGAAAGGAGGCCAAGAGTTAGAAAAAAGAGAGATGACCGAGAGAAAGAGGGAGAGGGCAGCAATTTGAGAGAAGAGATAAAAAGGGGTTTGAAAGAAAAAATAGAAAGTCTTGGTGAGAGGAAAGAGGTTAAGGAAACAAAAAAGAGAGTTTTTATATAAAATCCAAAGAGTGTTTAAATGCAAGAAAATAGGGGTTGCCCATAATACTACTTACTTACCAAGAAGCTTTGATTAATTCTGAGTTACTAACTTCTTCTTTGCCAAGTAGTATTTCTTCTCTTTTACAGATGTCTTTCCTGAAGATATTCCTAATGGATTGCCACCTTTATATGGCATTGAGCGTCAAATTGATTTTGTGACTGGATCACAAATCCCAAATAGGCTTGCTTATAGGAGTAATCCAGAAGAGACAAAAGAGCTTCAAAGGCAAGTTGAGGAGCTGCTTGAGAAGGCCTTGTGAGAGAGAGAGCATGAGCGCTTACTCTGTTCCCGTCCTATTGGTACCCAAAAAGGATAGAACTTGGAGGATGTGCGTGGATTGTAGAGCAATCAATAAGATAACGGTAAAGTATCTCCATCCTATTCCTCGTCTTGATGACATGTTAGATCAATTACATGGATCCAAAATCTTTTCTAAAATTGATCTAAAAAGTGGTTACCATCAGATTCGAATGAATCCTGGAGATGAATAGAAAACTGCTTTTAAGAACAAATATGGGCTTTATGAGTGGTTAGTTATGCCTTTTGGTTTGACTAATGCATCTAGTACTTTCATGAGATTAATGAATCATATCTTTAAGGATTTTCATAAAAAATTTATTGTGGTGTGCTTTGATGATATCTTGATCTTTTCTAACGCTTTAGAATAGCATGTAGAACACCTAAAACAAGTTTTTGAAGTTCTTAGAAAGCAACTCTTATTTGCTAATCTTAAAAAGTGTACTTTTTGTGTGGATCGTGTGATTTTTTTGGGTTTTGTGGTTAGTTCTAAAGGAGTTGAGGTTGATTAAGAGAAAATTAAAGCAATAAAAGAATGGCCTAAACCTAAGAGTGTAACTAAAGTTAGGAGTTTTCATGAACTTGCTAGTTTTTATAGGAGGTTTGTGAGAGACTTTAGCACCATTGCTTCTCCTTTAACTGAAGTTATTAAAAAGGATAA